TTTAATTTTCAGTGTTCATCAGGGTAGTTGTTGGAAAAATTGGTACTTGTTAGTTGTTACTACCTTTTTTTTTGTAATATATGTTCAATGATTTAATTTTTTTGAAGGAACAAAAATCAAGATTACTACTGTCTAAAGATAGCTCTAGACCTCTAGTAAGTGTAATGGTTTATTTTAGGCCATGTTTGGTTGGGCTTTTGGCTTTGGCTTTTTTTAAAAAGCAAAAAATTTCAACCAAAGGGCTCTTTGGAGTGTTTTTTTGAGCGATTGCTTTTCGTAGTTCATTTTTGAAAATTCAAGTTAACTCTGTTTTTGGCTTTTGGCTTTTCGCTTTTGAAATTGGTGGAATAAAAGCTCTTCCATAGTTGTTTCAAGAGAGATAAAGATAAAAGGTATATTTTATACTTGTTTAACCAAACGATTTTCAAACTTTTCTACAATTTCATGACACTTACAATGAATTTTTCCATGACTCACACACCCCAAAGTTTTTTTTTTTTCCCACGTACCACACAACTCAACCAAACAGGGCCTTAGTCCTCAAGTCTGAACTCTAAAGACATAGGCCTTATTTAGTTTCTCCTTAAAAGTTTACACTCTATCTTATCGAATATTTGGACACATGCATGAAGTATTAAATATAGACTAAAAAAATAACTAATTGCCTAGATTGTGAATACTTTGCGAGACGAATCTTTTAAGTTTAATTAGACCATGATTTGACAATGTGGTGCTACAGTAATACATGTGATAATGACGGCTTAATAAATTCATCTCGTGGTTTACTGACAGATTCTGTAATTTATTTTTTTATTAATATCTGAGCATCCATGCGATTCCCCATGTGACACCCAAAACTTTACACCCTAGAACTAAACAAGACCATACTTTCCATATGCACGCTAGATGGGTTCAGCCGTTCAGGAATGTTAAATAATTAGATTTAATACTTGACTATGACTTGATTAAACATGATAGTCTAGAGAAGAAACTGCATAGGACTTTTCAGATAGGATGCCATTCCGCTATGCTGTAACGGTTTATATCGTCTTTTGGCTTTCAGTTAAAAGACTAGGATTTGTGCCCTAAAATTCTAAAAAGAAACTGCACAGGAGTATAGAACAGTTAAGATTTCCGCAATGACATCACATAAGACCTGTTATTACTTCTTTATTCTTTGATTAAGCAAATGTTGGTAACAGATTAATTTCTGACCATCGAAAAAGGCAGCATCCCTTTCAGAGTTTCGGACTGCAGCAAGTGCTTCAGCTCCCCAACTGCGCACAAACAGGGCATCCTAGATACTTATACAATACATATTGATCGATGAGGATACTTTCGAAGTCAATTCAAACTAGGAGATGTTCTAAACCATGCCTTATCTTAAACTCTTGTAGAGCAAAACCCCACTAACTTATTTTTCTTAACGATCGTGGATTATAAGCCAGAACAATATTTTTCTTTCACACCAAACCAACCAGCAGTAATAATCCACGACCGTTTCAGAAAAAAAAAAAAAAAACAGACTGATTAATGTATCTCTTCACTTCCATGACGCCTCGCAGCCTCCCTCTGCCATGATCTTTTCACTTGCCCTTCTGTCATAAGTGATAGTTACTTCTCTTGTGGCCCCTCTCTTCTATTTAGAGGGCTCTGGTCTCTTTGTTTTTTTATCCCATCGCAAGCGTAATCAGTACCATCCATATCACCGTAGCGGGAGCTTCGTGCGTCGTAGTCAATACCAACGCCATCGCAGATTGAAGCCACCCGGCGGCAAGCTGCAGGATCGCTCCGGTGTCTACCCCCGTTGGCCCTACGCGGCTCTGTCTCCTCCGGCAACGGCAACTCGAGTCCAGCTTCGTCGGCCCCATGCGGCTCCATCTCCTTCGGCAGCGGCGAGCTGCGAGATCGATGGAGTCCACCAGCTATACCCACGCAACTCCGTCTCCTGGTGGCAGCGAGCTGCAGCAGCGTATGCGGCGACCCCTGCGGCCCCATGCTGCCGCTACATCTCTACCACCTAGACAGCGTCTGAGACACCGGCGGCAGGACAGACTGTGTGGGACGAGAGGCGGCGAGGAGAGAAAAGCAGGCACTAAAAAAAGGAACGTATAAGCTCATGGTTGTTTACTCTTCAATATGCTGTTCTTTATTTTTGTATAATAATTTGTTCTTTAGGTATAGATCATAATTATTATTCCCATCATCTTGACATGTGCTACTGTTTTCTATATTTTTTCATGATCGTTAGAACACCCGTCCCTATGAAAATTATATGTTTTCTAATCTTTTGTTTTTTTACCAATATTTCTATTATATATTTCTATATTTTTTTTATGTTCCTGTGTTTTTTTACATTCACACGTTTCAAAGGGCCGGTAACTATAAATTCTTCCCGCTTCATATAAAGTTCTTTCTATAACATCTCTATTCCCGCAGCAACGCGCGGAGTATTATTCACCTATAGTTCCAGGAGTTTCAAAGGGAAGAAAAAAAAGGAAAAGTTTTCATGAGGGAAGTACGCTTTTGTGGCTACCTTCTGAGGGAAATGTTTTGTATGTTCATCAAAAACATAGTTATATGGCCCCGTTCGGCTTACTGAATTTTGGCTGAAACTGGCTAAAAAATACTGTTCTGGCTGAATTATTGTGAGAGAAAAACACTGTTCCGGCTGAAACTGGCTGAAAAACACGGTTTATACAGTCTTACAGTAGAGCAGATGATTATTGGCCAGCAAGAGACCAAAATGCAGTGTTCGGCACAACATTAGTTGCCATTGTGCATCATGATAGCACATTGATAAGTATACTTCCGTTTTAGATGCTGTATATCCTTTTCTTAGAAAACAACCGAAGGAAGAATAAGTGAATGAAAGATTAGACGGTTACCGTACGTGCTGGGATTGGAGATGATCTCCATCATCCCCTTGTACACGTCGCAAAACACAATGTCGGCGCCGGCCAGCTGCGGCCGCAGGTCGTCCAGCCTCGCCGCGAGCTTGGCGTTGTACGCTTCGATCAGCCCGTTCGCCTCCTCCACGCAGCCGCCATCGCGGGTGGGGATCCGCTCCCACATGACGCGCGGCGCGCACCCCAGCGGCGGCACCCCCATCACCGCCACCCTCCGCACGCCGGCCTCGTACAGCTCCTGCACGCACGCACACGACGACGACGACATGACGCGCGTCAAAACTCAAAATTAAACCGAGTACCGCGTGCAGCTGCGAAGGAGAAGACCGTACGCACCGAGACGGCGCGCGCGACGCGGTCGGCGAGGAGGCGGGCGAACCCGCGGCGGCCGTGCTTGGGCGCGGCGGCGTCGGCCTCGGCGGGCCCGCGCGCGAGCAGGCGCGCGTAGGCGTCGGCGCCGAAGGACAGGACGAACACCGCGGAGGACTCCCACTCCCCCGGCGCGGCGGCCTCGAGCTGCAGAAGCTGCAGCGTCTCGGAGGCGAGGCGGACCTGCTGCCCAACGGCGCCCATGCGGAACACCGACGAAAACGGTGACCCGCGCTCGCCGCCGCCGTAGTAGAACAGCTGCCCGCCGCCGCCGCCGAAGTTGACGCCCCGCGCGGCTTCGGACGCGGTGCCGTTGAGCGCGGAGATCGGTGGCGGCGAAGGGAGGCCCATCCTGGCCGCGAGGAGGTCCGGGATGCGGCGCCGTGCCGCGGGGAAGAAGAGGCACGGGCCGCCGGAGAGCGAGGACGGCAGCGCGGCGGTGGTGGTCAGGTTCAGCGGCAGAATGCTGCTCGCCGTCGCCGCGCAGCCGACCGTGGAGTCGCCCAGGACGAAGAGCGCGGTGGCCGGGGAGCGAGGCGGTTCGGCGCCCGCGCCCGCGCCGGTGGTGAAGCGGAGCAGGACGAAGAGGAGGAGGAGGAGCGCCATGCGTGCGGTGTTGTGGCGCGAACCGGTAGCTGGCGTTCGCGGCGAGGTCGAAATGGAATGGTGCTGCCAACTGACAAGTGGGTCCCGGTCGAAGGCTCGAAGCCAAAAGTCCTTTTCCAGGTGGGCCCGTAGTGGTAGCGTGTCTCGCAACATATTTGCACGAACACCCCTGAAGTAAAAGGAAAATCCCGTCTGTGCAGCAGATGTCGTGCCGTGCCGTGCAGGTGCGGGATCTCTGAATCTCTGACGCCCAAGCAGGTTCGTCTCCTCGGATCTCGCCACCTCGCGGAGGGAGGGGGAAGAGGAAGCGCGGAGACTGGAATCGGGGCCCAATCGGGCGGCGAACGCCCGCTTCGGTCTCTCGATCGGCGAGGTAAGCGAATCGCGGTGTGATGCAATGCCGCTGCTTGCCCCCTCTTTTCTTTCTTTTCTTGGAGGAATTTCATGCGGACTGGGCTGGATATGTTGGTGGACGCGACCTTTCCCAAGATTCCTCCCGCAGAAACAGAAACTACCTTCCATATGAAGAAAAGCGCTTAAATTTTGGATTTTGTTTCCATGTAGGCTGTGAGCTCGTTGTTGGGGTTGGGCAAGTAGCTGCGAGTCAGTGAAAATTGCTTCCAGCGTTTTGATTAGTTGGGCGTAGATTCAGTTGCGTTTTGCGTGTTCCAGTTTGTGCAGCACGCTGGGTTAATTTTGCTGGTCATTGACTTGCTTCACTGTATTTCACTTAGGAAATTTCTCTACGGATTTTGTTTATTCGGTTTGTCCTTTACTGGGAACCGTCCAGTTTTGTATGTCATCATTCTCTGTGGGCTTTGATTCGTGTTTTAACTTCTAAAGCTATTCCTGGGATCGTTGTGGACCAAGAGCATATTCGGTAGTTAGTTTGGTCTTGTTCTTTATCTATTGGTCACCTGTTTTCAGTGTATATTCTTCTAGTGAGACTTTGTGATATCTTCCTCTCACAGCAGGCATGAATCATACAGCCGGCTAGTATGGCCTCAAAAGCTATAAAAAGAAGGCCTTGCAGCACTGAGACTGATAAAACAGCTGAAAAAGATATGGATACAACACTGTCAGATCCTATAACAGAACCTCTTCTAGGAAATACTCCTCAGGAAGTGAAATCCAAGGTTCGTAGCTTCTCCTGGAAAGTTAGGGTCGTCGACCAACTTTTGGTTCATGCCTTCTGAACAAGCACTTTCTTTTATTTGTCTTTTTTGTAGATATATGAGCCTATTACACGGTCAGGTTTCTTGGATGGGACGAGACAGGAGTGTCTTCGTTGGGCACATCTTCTAGCAACTTTTGTTGCTCAATCTGCAAGAAACATAGGTACTTTTCATGAAACCTTAATCCACGAAGAGCTAGATGCTATGTTGTTTTCCTATGTATATCAAATAACCTACTCCTACAGTCCTAGTTGATTAATTCGTCATCTTTGGCCAACTATTTATGGGTTATCATTTGGGTGTTGCTGATAATTCTGTTTCTAGAAACATCTACTTGTCTCACATTTTTTTCTTTAGTGATTTGGACATCATCTTACAGGATAGGTATTGATAAGAAAATGTATGTTGGATTCTGTATAGAAAATCCTCTACTACAACAATTATGTATTGTTTGTGTTGAAATTCACCTCTGTCATTCTGAGTTACACGCTGCAGCTGCACTTACTACTGTTATCACTGCCATTCTGATGTTCCAGTGTTCTAAAAAGGCCCCACTTTTCACTTGCAGTAAATGTTCTTTCTGAATTTGGATCTTGGCTAGCAAGACTCTTTGGTTGTTCTGCTTCCAAAAGTTCACAAAATGGACAGACAGTTCCAGTTAATCTCAGTCCATTACAGGTACGGTGGTGCTTGCAAAAGTCCTAGTTTCATTTGAATTACTATACAACAATAAGGGAAGGGAGTTGTTTCATTGGAAGCATGAGTTTCTTATCATTGAGATTTTGTTCTTAGTGTTAGTAGAAATGTGATATTAGTATAAGACTAAATTATCGTATTCCCCTTATAGCCTATATAAGCTTAAGATCTTGGATTGGTTGATTGGTGCTTAAAGTAAACACCTCTGGCTACCTCTGCATCTGCATGTCTCTTTTTAGATGCGAGCAGAAACAGACAACAGATGTTCATGTTTGTTTACATCAGCCGTGAAGACAACTGTCAGTGTATCCATGTCACGTGTTGTTAATTTCTTTTCAGTTGATTTTCTCCTTGCTGACATGTGTGTTTATAAAGGAAATCCAATGAATCCTTCTTCCCTTAGTTTAACCTTTCTGGAGAGCAGCTTTATATATTCTTGGTTTCCTTCTGGGTTGCCAAAGTTCTGTTTACATTGCGCAACTTTGTTATGAGACTGCGTTCTGTTATCTGACACTTGACAGTTTCACTTTATAGGAAGAAAGGTTAAGATTGTTGAGACAAAGGATAGATGTGCCATATGACTGCTCCTCTGTCAAGCATCAGGTTCTCATTCTGTATATAGTTTACTTTTATGGCATCTCTTTTCTTATCAAATGAATGCCAATTTTATCCCTGGGAAGAATGGGACAAATGTAATTGAATTTGGTATGTGATATTCGTGACCGATAAAGGCATTGTGATTCAGAAGAAATAATATCCTTTTCTGTTACAGGATGCCCTGAAAGAACTTTGGAGGTTGGCTTACCCTAACAGACAACTTCCTCCTCTGAAGTCAGATCTCTGGAAGGAGATGGGCTGGCAGAACTCGGATCCATCAACAGATTTTAGGTGCAGTTCCTCAGTGATGATGTTTCTTGAAAAATTATCATGCATTATGTTGACATAACTTGAGCCGTATGATTTGTATTTTAAACTATCCTATGCTTGCAGGGCAGGTGGGTTCATGTCCTTGGAGAATCTAATATACTTTGCCAGAAATTACCCAGTATGTTTCTATTCATCCTTGGCACTTACTCTATAAATCGTCCATCAGTGGGTGAGTCAGTTGTGTTTAATGCTCTGTAGTTGATTTTACATGCAGGATTCCTTTCACAGGCTACTGCATAAGTCGGATGGTAAGAGAGCTGAATGGGAGTATCCTTTTGCAATAGGCGGCGTAAACATATCCTATATGTTAGTTCAAATGCTGGATTTACAGTCAGGTGATTGAATACAATAACTACTAAAATATTTCAGTATCATTCAGATTCATTTTCCCTTCGCACTGCCTTCAGATTTTGGTTCATAAGCAGACAATCTATGGAGAATGAGGTCTCAATGGCTTTTTTTATACCTCTTTGTAGGAAAAATGAGAACAAAAGCTGGTGTTCACTTTGTTCAACTACTCGAAGATGACGATGTGGCTTTCGATAACCTTTTCTGTGTAGCATTTCAGGTGCTTGATTCTCAATGGCTTGCAAGGCGAGCTAGTTATATGGAATTCAATGTGAGCATTCTTTACTAGGACAACAATTTATGCATGCTAATGGTTTCCCATATCATCATCCAGTTTGAGTTGATTATCTCTATGTCCATATTATCAGGAGGTTTTGAAGTCTACACGGGTTCAGTTAGAGCAAGAGCTTACTATCGGAGGTATTTCTCGCATTCAAGACATGCCATCATTCAGAATGCTGAAAAGCTAGCCCTGTTTATACTTCACAGGAAAAGAGATACATTTTAGATGTCAATAGGTTGTTTAAATTTGTTGTCCATTCTTTCACTGGATGTTGAAGGTGTGATGTTGTGTATGTTCATGCATGATGCCTTGAAAAGAAACGACTTCTCTGCAACTCCTGACATCAAGATGTGATGCTGGTGTATATTGGTCCTACCGGCCTAGTTTAAAGCTACAGATCATTTATGATATATTGAAAAAAAACTACGACTTTCAGATATCATTTTATTCTCTGGGCAACTAGTGACAGATTATTTCCGGGTGTCTCAGGGTAAATTGTCTGCTTCTGCTTCTGAAAGCATGTCATATGTATGGAAAAAAATTACACATTTTTTTTTGAAGACTAAATATAGAAGGGAAAAAAGTGTTCCTTAATCTGGAGCTACTAGGGTCACAGCCTTGTAAACTGTTCAAACGAACAAATCTATGCTGCATTGGCAGCATTGCCATGATCATGCCATGTAAAACTTTGATACTGTACAACTACTTCAGATTCAGGATGTGATTAGTTGAATCTAGGCTAAGCGAGACAATGACAAACCTTAAGGTTAGTCAAGCAGCCTGGAACAAATTCAAAGAATTAAGGAACATCGACACACTTGTCTAATGCCAAGCTGCCATGGGCTTTCTACAAGAAAGTTCAGCTGCTTTGCAGCAGTGGCTCTGTGGCATTGGACAAATCAAGTATACCCAAGACAGGACACCTGAAAAGTGAACCTCCTTGGATATCTCACATAGGCACGCACGCCACGCATGGGTTTCAGAATCAATTGCACACACTAATCATTGTTGGAGGTTGTATTCCCTCTTCCATATCTGAAAGAACATCCTTCATCTGACCATCACCTGCTTCAAACAGACTGAAATCTGCTGCCAACAGACTGAAATCTGCCAGACCTACACCATCTTTGCTACCTTCATCAACTGCAGGACACCCATCGAACAGGCATCCAATGTTGCTGTCGAAGTCTGCATCAGTGAACCACTCGCTCAGATTGATTGAGCTGCCAAAGTTAGATCTTGACATGGTGTCTAGCTCATAATCCATGCAAGGGCTCCATAAGCTCTCTTCGATGCCGTCGTCGACTGTGATGAGGGGCTCCGCGATGTCATCAGGCTCTGCATTCTCATCAGGTTCTGCATTGTCATCGGGTGTCTTCGCTTCGCTTGACACAGACTCTTGGGCTGTAGTTTCAGTTTCACTCTGATCAGGTTGAGCTTCTTGGTTGAGTGCTGGCACCACCTGTGGTTCCTGTTGGAGCTGCGCCAGGAACAGTGGGTGGTCCAGGTAGCAGCTAATGTCGAAGTTGGTTACAGCATTGACACCTCGGTATTCAATGGCCGCAAGATCATAGGCCTTGGCTGCCTCTTCTTGAGTGTCTGCAGAAACAGAACGAATGGTAAGTTTGTCTGAATGAGTGGATAAAAACGGAAATTTAGACATGATGCTTTGCTAATATCTTGAGAGGCTCGCGCTTCACAAACGACTGTGGACTTCGGTCAGGCGCAAACGCCATGGCCGCCAGGACGACGATGCGTGCGCTCTATGTGGCCAGGAGCCTGAGACGGTGGAACACCTCCTACTCGGCTGTGCGTTCGCCAAACAGGTGTGGTTCACGCTACTTCAGCCATTGCAGCTCGACACTCTAATGCAGGAGCACGACGTCGACGTCGCATCGTGGTGGCTGCGCCAGCGCTCTAGGGTCGACTCGTCGGACAGGCCGCTGTTCGACTCCTTGCTGCTGCTTGTCGCTTGGTCCCTGTGGAAGCAGAGGAACGGAAGGGTGTTTGGCAGACCTGCTTCAAACGTGCTCGCTGTCGTCTGCGCTGTGCTGCATGAAGGGGAGGAGTGGGCTCTTGGAGGTTTCAGGCCGTTTGTAGCCTTGACCGAGCTCTGGTCGCAACATCTAGGAACAATGTAACAACTCTTAGAGTATCCAGTAGCTTAGGGCCCGTCTGCTCGGTTCTGGGTAGCTTCTCGCCGCCTGAGCCGACTGTTGTTGTGTTTTAAACTCCTTCCCTCTTAATGAAATACGGGTGTAATCCCGCTCGCGAAAAAAGCTAATATCTTGAGACACTCCACAATGCACAATTTGTTCAAGTGCCATTGTTCTTAGAGTACACAGTGCCTCTAGAAAGTAAGACACAATATTTGGTGACAGATTCTGGTAAATATATGTTTTTGTTGGTTTAGAGAAAACAACATGCACATAGATTATGCTTAATGGGAGGTACTGAATTGCAGACAATGGCTGTTCACTAATCTGAATGGACGGTGGTGGCTGCTTACTTGCACATGTGCCCGTCACTGGACATGTCCAATCTCAGTGCAACTAGTTAACCTTTGTGTTTTCCTCTGTCACTAGCCTTTTATGATGGTAATAGAGGTGAAAGCAAATCTGTGGTCTGGATCTTGAATCTTGATCTAGTTTTGACACAGGGCATGCTTGATGCACGTGAAGAGATCACTGGCTGCTAATGCTGAGTCACGCAGACAAGTGAAAAAAAAGAGAGAAAAGGGCGGCAGTGCTGAGGAATTGAAGATCCCTAGGCACCATCTTATTATTACTGCCACTAGCAGTGGATGGCAGGTGAGTGGCGGCTACTCCCATCACGTGCTTATCACATGAGCTTGGAGGGTCATGCAGTTTTGGCTGGTAATTAGCCAACAGTTTGCCTGTTTTATGCCACTAATTTTTAGGGCAAGTTGGACTGTTGAGGATCAGCCATCTGGTGATTGCTCACAGGACAGTAGTATCTTGGTCTCATGGTCTTGATCTTGACAGTCAAGAAAGGGACAATATTTTTGGGCAGGAAAGGTGCATCAGTATTATGCTCCTGTAGTATGATCTGATTTGATGGATGGTCAGATCCAGTGCTTTTCTTTGTTTTTTTTTAAAGAGGCATAGCAGTTAGGATCACCATGTCTGAAGGGACAATATAGTAAGGGAATTGCCAAGCCTGCATTGAAGGGAAACTAAGAAATACGAGCCATTCAATTGTGTAGGAGTTAGGTTGATCAACCTTCATAAAAACTGGTTAAAGTTAGGTGGTCCTTGCAGTAAGTAGGACAATTCCACAACAAACAAGAGTTGCACTTAAATGCTGGAATAAACTGATTTGTCAAAAGAAGTGCAAAGAGCATGAAACTATAGATATATCATTGAGGAACATAGTACACTGCTTGTCCATCCATACCAAATGTTCCCAGGTAGAGGTACTTGTTCCCAAAGACTCGCCCAATCCGTGCCTCCCATCTCCCATTATGGTGATGCCTAGAACATCATTGAAAACATCAAAAAATCATTCTTTTAGCTTATATAAACCGAAGGAATTCAAGGCATGCATCTCTGAAGAAAATAAGTAGTCTGTGATGCATGCAGTTCAGAGCTGGCATTTTTCTAGGTGCACAACACAATGCCTGACGAGTGATGAGTCATGCATGCATGATGCATGGCTCTGACGTTACAGGTGGACCTCATCTTGTGCCGTGTCACCCAACTAAAGAACACCAACGTGAGTCAGTGGGCAACCTGGACCCCATTTCACATTCATCAGTGCCATCCATTTTTGGCACTTGGAGCTGCACAGCTTCTTGCTGCCAGGTGTGTTCCATGGTCAGTGCATGTGCTGAGCTAGCAGAGTACTGCACTCTACAGGAATGATAGATCCTACTAGCAACTACTCCTACGTCCCCCCAAAAAATGACAATTACGGGTTTGGTGTCAGTCAATCTTTCTTAAATTTGGCAATATTTTTATTTGTAAATATTTTTTTTATAAAAATTTGTTCAGGGATCTATCTAATAATACTAATTATGTACCATAAATATTAAAACTTTCTTGTATATACTTGGACAAAGTTCAATGTTTAATTTCTCAGGAAGCGACGATGATGATATTTTTTATGGGACGGGAAGAGTAGTGACTAGTGAGAGGGTTTAAACTAACAATAGGTGATCAGGACAGGGGAGTAGTGTCAGTGAGAGGGTTTAAATTAACAATAGGTGATCAAGTCACGATGTAGGTGTTCAAATCAAGATTAGTATAATGCAGTAGATTAATACTAGGGAGTAAGCACCTGGCAACGCCTCTGTACTTGGAGACGCCCCTGGAGAAGCCGCTGCTCCTGCGGCGGAGGGAGGCCAGGTACTCCTCCCGGGACACGCCCTCCATCTCCGGCATCTCGCTGGAGTAATCCTCCACCTGCATCAGTCAAATCACCATGCTTAATTAGCCGACAGATTTCATCTAATATACTAGTAGTACTCCTACTGTTAACACGCATAGGAAACGCAAACAAACTTTGACGGCCAGTTACTACTGCCGCTCTGCTTGCTTACGACCACACATTAATGAAGGCTAGTCTTGTCCGCGTTTGTATAATGCCATGCTTCCTACCAGTAGGAGTAGTTGCAAGAAGCCGACAGGGGTTGTGAGCTCATTGCTCAGTGTCACCTTCATTTGCGGCCTGTTTAGCAGTACCCATCACATCGAACATGGAGTACTAAATGTAGGGTCGAGAGCTCATTGCTCAGTGTCACCTTCAGTCCATAATTAAACACTAATTGCCAAATACAAACAAACGGGCTACAATACCTAAAACCAAAAAATTTGGCATCTAAACGCGGCCTTGTTACTACTAGCAGCTGCCTGTCTCGTTCATAAATATTTCAGCAATTTTTTCTTTTTAAAAAAATCCATTTCTCCTTCAGTCCCTTCCTCTGGGTTCTTTGGCCATGCACAATGCTTTTGTTGCCATGCATGACCAGGATACATAACATCCTGGCTGGCTCTTGCTAATTAAATGGGGAACAGAACACAAACTTATTTTTGGTGCAAACAATGCCAATTCTTGCCTTTTATGTAAATATAAGGAACAGACAATTCTTCAGAGACAGAGTACAAGGAAGCAGGGCCGACAGTTTTGTGTTCCTAGGATAAGAGCAGACGAGCAGCAGTGCAGGAG